AAAAAAAAATCAGCCATTGAAAACCCTATGGAGCACAGTTCTACTCTGACACACATGAGGCCACCATGAGTTAGAGTCACTCTGCACTGCAGCCTTGAAAACCCTTTGGGGCAGTTCTACTCTGTTCTATGGGGTTGTTATGAGTCAGAATCGACTCGAAGGCAATGGGTTTTGGTTTAAGCTTCTGGAAAAATACTAGCATGTTCAGTTAAACACTAAGTAATTCAGCACCTCAAATCTGGCCTCATTGGTTGGGTGTCTGGTTGTATTTGGCAGGAATGAGGAAGTCTTAAAGCAGTCCAGTTTTAAAGCAGAAGGAGCTAAAAAGACAACCAATATCTAAGAGTAACCTCTCATAACCTTCCACGTCAAACCTAAGCTTGTCAGTATTCAGTTGATCCTAGCTTGCATCCTAGCTGGAAATAAAGACTTTCTAGTCACTCTAGCTAGAAACAAGGAATTACACAATTAACCTTTAATTACAATTAAAAGTGCTACCAAAAAACAAGGTACTGTGAGAGCCCATAAAGGTGACCTTGTCGGTTCTGTAAGGTCAAGAACAGGCTTCCCTGAGGAGATGCATTTACTGGTGATCCAATAAGTAGGTGTTAACTAGGGAGTATGCATGGACTGGGACAGAGCAGAGAGGAGGTAGAGAACATGTAGGCAGAATCAAGTAAGAAGCAGCAGGACATGTGGAAGGCACTGGAAGGTGACCAGAGGCTGGAATGCAGAAGTAAAGGGAAGAGATGAGGTGGTGAGGCCAGATCATGCAGGGCCTTGTAGGTGGAGGAGAGTGCATTTTATCCCGCATGGAAGTCCCAGGGGAGCCCTGATGGCGTAGTGGTTAAGAGCTTGGCTGCTACGATCGGCAGTTCAAACCCATCAGCCGCTCCTTGGAAACCCAAAACCCTATGGGGCAGTTCTACTCTGTCCTATAGAGTTGCTATGAGTCGGAATCGACTCAATGGCCATGAGTTTGGTTTGGGTTGGGAATCCCTGGGTGGGTTTTAAGTACGAGGCAACCTGTTGAGATTTGTGTTTTAAGGTCATTCTGTCTGCAGCAAGGCTGCGGTGGTGCTGCAAGCTTGAGAACGATGCAGGCTGTTGCTTAAGCTGCTCTTCCAGCCAGCATAGCCCCAGCCCTCAAGATGGGTGAAGTGGGGAAGGTGGACGTGACCCTGTGCTCAGAACACTCCTTTGGTGGCCTGTGGGCTGGCCTTGGCATGCAGGTCTGGTTCCCTCGTAGACAGCCCATCCAGCTTCACTGCTTGCAATGATCATCTCATTGTTTCAGGCTTAGCCTGTCTGGATCACACTTTGAAAAGCCCTGCTTGCCATCCTATGGGTGAGCTCCTTCCTGCCCCTGGGGCAAGGGTGGTGGTGGACTGCTTTAAGACTTCCTCATTCCTGCCAAATACAACCAGACACCCAACCAGTGAGGCCAGATTTGAGGTGCTGAATTACTTAGTGTTTAACTGAATATGCTAGTATTTTTCCAGAAGCTTAAACCAAAACCTATAGCTTTCGAGTCGATTCTGACTCATAACAACCCTATAGAACAGAGTAGAACTGCCCCAGAGGGTTTTCAAGTCTGCAGTGCAGAGTGAAGGGAAGAGATGAGATGGTGAGGCCAGATCATGCAGGGCCTTGTAGGTGGAGGAGAGTGCATTTTATCCTGCATGAGAATCCCTGGAGAGCCCTGGTGGCGTAGTGGTTAAGAGCTCGGGTGCTAACCAAAAAGTCGGCAGTTCAAACCTACTAGCCGCTCTTCCGAAACCCTATGGGGCAGTTCTGCCCTGTCCTATAGGGTTGCTTTCTCCAACTTGACAGCCATGAGTTTGGGTATTGAGCACCTACTGTGTACCAAATGTTTTGCAAACATTATTGCTTGTGATTATTCAGTTCCTGCAAGGTTATGCAATTGCTCCCATTTAACAGGACATTCTAGCTCAGGGAGATTAAGGGACTTGTCAAATCCTTACAATCAGGAAGTGTCAGTCAGACCTAGAGTTCACATTTGAAAATTACGCCATGTACTTCTCAGGGAGAGAGGAGGCTAATGACACCGTGAAGGCAAAAGCCTGGCTATCCGGCACTGAACCTCTTTATGCCCAGTGTTCTTACCACACACTGCCCACAACACTCTTGTCAGCATCTGTCCGTGTTCCCAAATATCTTGCTCTTCCTTCCCTCCCTCCCCTCCTTAACCCTGGCCTAAGAGGGGAGATGCATTCCAAATCACAGTTTCCCAGCTCCTCACCCCACTGTCCAGTTTCCAGACATTTCCTGTTTTAAAATAATTACTGCCTCTGGGATGATGGGAAATCAGCCCTGGGCAGAAACAACCCTCTTTTGAGGTTTTATTAAGGAATTTTGAGCCAGAGTTGAGTGGGTGAGCAAAATCATGGTTTCAGCCTTTCCAAAGAGGTTCTCCGGGCTTCCCACAAAGGCCAGGAAGTGGAGGTAGATGAAATGATAGCTTGAAACCCCTGGAGGCCTTAGCCTCTGCCCTTCAATTAATTGAATATGTTTTAGATGACTGGAGACTGTCTACGGACTGGTGTTAATAGAAGCTCAAGTTGGTAGCATGTTGTGGTGCCTGAGCTAGCTATGCAGAGATAATGTTACAAAGAGCAGTAGATTGAGTGATAGCAATGGGGACTGGAATCCTAGCTAGGTCCAAGAATAATCATCAAATCAGAGGAAGTGTGTGCTTAGTAGGGAGAGGTGAGGAAAGGCTTGATACCAGGTGGACAGCCTGGCCTGCAGCCAGGAACTAGCTCCCCAGCTGGAAGATGAAGAAATTGGTCCTGTGGGTGATGCCTAAGGCACCCATCCATCCATCCACTCCTCCGCCCATCCCAGCCAGTCCTGAAGTGGAGACATCTAGAGATATGTAATGAGCTTTGTGTTTACTGGAACTTCTCTAAGGAAAAGGCCTGTATCTAGAGGACTGAAAACTCTGATAAGATTGGGGTGAGGGGAGGAGCCTTCCAAGGGACACAGTGGAGTCACAGTAAATAACAGCCCAACTGCCTTGTAAGAAACTGAATCTAATTAACTACAAGGGCTTTCCCTTTATGAGTAGGTGTATACTTTGGGGACAAGCGTGAGGAGAGGCTGCTTACTGCCACCCAGCTGTCCTCCTTCCCCGTCCTTCTCACGTGCACCACTCACCCTCTCCTTGGTTAGAAGGGGCACTCAATTGCTTGCCAGCCCAAAGTGTCCACGTGTCTCTCTCCGGCGCCAGTGATGGGGCAGTTGCAGAGTAGAGTCTTATTGTTTAATTCTTGGTTCCTCCTAAATGTCGGTGTCCTGAGACAAATCCCTGGTTACCTGTCCTTAGCTGCTGTTCTGTCAGGAATTAGTCAGCCTGGACATCACATTCTCCCACTATGGTACCACGTGGGGCCAGTGATCATTAACAGGACTGCAAGTGGCTTGATTGTGGAACATATCTGACTCATCTTTACAGTACCCATTAACTTCTGCTGAGTAATAATTCTTTGTTAAATGTGTAGACGGATGGGTGGGTGGATGGATGGATGGATGGATGGATGGATGGATGGATGGATGGATGGATGGATGGATGGATGGATGGATGGATGACCCGGTGATAAATGTGTGAACACATTTACAAGAGAGTTACTAGGGTGAGAGATGAAAATGTTAGCTGTGAAACACTTTTTTCTTTATACAAGGCTACAACAGACCAATTGAGAATGGAACCCTCAGCCTGGGCCATGCTCTACTAACTGAGCTAGTCTGCCCAGAAAGACAGATCAAGGCATTGACTAAATCTGCCTTGCTCTGGCACAGTTACTGTGGTAATTATGGCCATACTACCAAGGTACCTCCTGAGAGCAGGCCTCTTGGAAAGCAGGTGGCCAGAGATTTGCACTGACCTGTTCTTTTTTTTTTCTTTTCAGATTATCAAGGAAGTGCCACCACCCCCTGCTGAAGAGAGTGAGGTAAGCCACCAGAGCGAGGTTCGGCCAGGGGGACAGGGCAGCAGAGTGGGGCAGGGCTAAGTCAGACCCAGGCCCTCACTGCATGTGAAGCAGTGGGGAGGGAAGTACCTATCTTTGACCCTTACTAACCAAGGACTGAACAGGAACTGAACTAAACTGGCCACCAAAGACAGAATGTTTCTGGAGGGTTTTCTTCCCTCACAGATAAAATTTGAGAGCAAATATAACATTTTTTTTTTTTTTTAGTCATTACGATTATTTGGAGCTCCGAGGTACTGATTTTTCCTCTAGAACCAGCACTTGAATGTTGTCTTCCCCCTGCAGAAACTTCTGCCTTTTGTGCAGAGCAGGGCAAATTTACCACCTTCTCCAAACAATCAGGAGGAGCCCTGGTGGCGCAGTGGTTAAGGCACTCGACCACTAACCTAAAGGTCGGCAGTTTGAACCCACCAGCTGTTCCACAGGAGAATGATGTGGCAATCTGCTTCTGTAAAGATTTACAGCCTTGGAAACCCTAAGGGTCAGTTCTACTCTGTCCTATAGGGTTGCTATGAGTCGAGATCAACTCCACAGCAATGGGCTTGGGCCCCAAACAATCAGTGGTTCCAGGGACAGCCTGATGCTGAAGTATTCCATTGTTCTTTCATTTAAAATGATGTCATCTCAAGGTTTTCCAGGCAGTGATGAATATATACTGGAGGGGGATGTGCTAATACTCTGGCCTTGCTCTCAAATCCTCATCATCTGGGGAAAAAAAAAAGAAGAAAAATCTTAGCCTTCACCACTAAATTGGCTAGTACACAGTTCTGATGCAGGGTGGCCTGGAGTAGTACAGTGGAAGGAAGCATAGGTGTTAAAGGCTAATGGTGAGAAAGAGCATCCCAGGGCAGGAATGCAAAGCAAATGGCTTTCCTAATCCTTTGATTACTCCCGGGATATCTAGTCTTGTTACCGCAATAACGCGGATTGGAGCCGCCTGCCGCAATAGCCAATTCTGAGACAGGGGTGAGGTAAGCAGCAAGAGGTTTATTACATACCGATATATAGGAGACAGAGGGGAATAGATTCCTCCAAAAAAACCCATCTCGCCCACTGGAGATCAGCTGAAGGCTTTTATAGGGACAGGATTATGGGTCTTAGAAGTTTGTTTTAGTTTCCCCTTGAGGTGGTGATGTCTCAGATGAGTTAATCTTCTACTGGTATTCTTGGGGGTTTATCTGGTGATATCCTTGGGGATTATCTGGCGACATCCTGGTTTTTCTTGTCACAAGATGGGTGCTTTGTTTGGTTTTCATCCTTAGACCATTATCACTTGTTTTCTACCCTCCAAGGAGGAACATCGGTTAATCTTAACCCTTTTGTAGAGACTGGAAGAACAAGATTATGAGACAATGTGGCGGTTAGCAATGGGGAGTAAATAATAGTGAACCAGGCCTGTGCAGCCTCTTCCAGACTCCCTGCATGCAGCACCAACCCATTTGGAAGCCAGAGTGCAGATCCGAAAACTTAGAGGGACCAAAAGATACACTGAGGTTTCCAGTTCATTCTCCTCAATCTCGAAGGCCAGTTGTGTGCAAACCAAGTGCCACTCCCTCACCAGGCCTCTCCCCAGTGCCTTTGTCCCGTGTCCTACAGACAGAAAAACTAAGGATTAAATTTAAATTTCCATGTGGCTCTTGTATCCTGAAACATATGCATGTGAGCCAAGGGATTTAATAGCTGCAATCAATTAAAGCACATCTTGTTGGAATGTTAACTTTCTGCCCAGAAATCCAGGGAGGAAATTACATTGCTGTGCAAAGAGGAGGGAGGGAAAAAGAATCCTCTTTGCATCCACAAAAGCCTGTTCTTAAGTCCATCAAGAGAAGTAATCGGGGTTAGTTCCACTGGTTCTAGTCTGGCTTTGTTTCTGTTGAATGCGGCTGTCTCTTACACGGCCAAAGAAAAATAGGGCAAGAAGTTCCCTTGTTGAGGTTGCTCTGCTTGCCCTGAGGTGAAACATGTTCCCTCCCCTCGTTCCGTTAGAGGAGCTGTTGCCTTTTTTTCTGATGCTGGCTCTGCGTTCACCTTTGGAAGGTGACTTGGCAGCCATCATGGCCACAGCACACCAGGGGACTTAGGTACCCTCCTGCAATAAGACCATGGGCATCTGGTTGAGCCTGGGACCCAGCATCAAGCACAGGCTCTGTCCATAGTAGCAGCTCAAGATGTATTTGTGGAATGAAGTACTATACCTAACAAAACAATTTTGGAACAAACCATCAAACAAAAGTCAAAACCAGAAAGCCACCTAGAAAGAAATAGGTAAGAGCAAGGGAAGAGAAGCAGTTGAGTTTCTCCAGTTGTACCTAGCAGTTCTATAGATGGTCTCCTTTCCCCTGAAGAAGGCAGACCCGACTTGTGAAACAGGATGACAGCCTCAGAATACTTGAGCTGGAAGGGGTTGTGCTGGGCTTCAACGAGCATGCCGGCTGGCCAGGGACAGGCTCCAGGCTCCACTGATTACCTTAGCATGTGGGCTGGCCCTGAGAATTCCTTGGCTCTGCAAGTTCGGTGACCCTAATATCCTTCCTAATGTGTTTTGGCAGAAGGAAAGAAATCCCACAGAAACAAATAATGTAATTTAGCCCATGCAAAGTATTTTACACAATGCTCTGAAAATCATAGTCTTAACCTAGACTATTTTCTCCACCCCAGCTCCCTGTGTTCAAATCCAACCAGTCCTTCAAACACAGCTCATGTGCTACCATCTCCACAAAACACACTGTGATTCCTTTCATCGGAACCTATTTCTCCCTTCTCTGGACTCCCAGGGTATTTTATTGATTGCTCCTTCAGCATCAAAGTTTAAAACCAGTTAGCTACTTGACTTCCTTTGCTCCCTCATTGCTCTAACTGATATTTGAATCATCCCCAAAGAGCTTTACACAGTGTCTGACAGTCAATTAATAGCTCTGTGAAGTCAAACACTCTGCCATATATATATTAAGAAGTTAATGATTAATTATGCTTACTTTCATCAGATCTTTCACCATCATATCTTAAGGGAGGCAAGTCTACTATTTAAATAACTAATCTTAGAGAATAAAGACAACTTTTTGAATCTTTGTAATGAGCTCTCAGTGATCCTCTTTAATAGGGAATATCAAAATGAATAATATAACAAGGCATGACTTTGACAGTCTGTGTAATCAAACAGTGATACCCCTATACAAAGAGAGTGCAAAGAAAAATTGTTTGAGTTTCAAGATCTCAACAAAAGCAAGGAAGCTCAGTTTTAGGAACTAATAGGAGCATCTCCTGGGTTAAGGATCTTCTCTAATTGGCCAAGTGAGGATTCCACACTAAATCTGTAGTTATTCTAAAGGAAAAAAAAAAAAAATTGGCAGTTTATGGGAGAAGCCCATCTATTGAGTACTTCATCTGGTGGTTTAGTTCTAAGTGTAATCTCCTTCCATGGATTTGCTGACTACATTTGAGTTTTTGACTGATCATCTGGCTGTAAAAAGCAGAGACCAGTTCAAGCTAGCCAAAGGTGAAAGGACCCAGGTAGACTGTGGCTCGGGAGTCATCAAGAACTGAGTGAGCTCAGGGAACCAGCAACTCCACCTCTTCCTCTTTCATCCTTACTCATACCATCTATGTTTCTCTCTGGAAGTGTACTCCCTTCTGCTCTCTCTTACCTGGCTTCATCTACTCCCTCATCACTCTGGTTGGTCCGTGACCCCTGACTACCTGATGGCATTTCTCAGGCCATCGTTTCAGCATCTGCCCCCAGTGCTTACTGCCTCAGCCTCTCAGTTTCTCTCTTCCAACTCCCCAGAGAGAAGTACATTTGGGCCAACTTATCTTTTCACTCTAAACAGTACACTCTAAGTCATAGGTCATGGCTAACCTTGGGCTGGCTTCCCTTGGGTCAAAGCGCCACTCCTGGTTCCGTCAGCTGTGACCAAAGAGAAGAGTCCTGTTTTGTAACAGGCCATGGCTCCCTGGGCATGGCGAGAATCATTTCCTTAGAAGGATGAGTGGCCTTGAGGCAGGCACTGTGACCTCTCTGGATTAGCAGGGTTTAATAATCAAGACATCAGTCTAACTAAATATTAGAATACAAACTACAGCCAGGAATCCATGCCCTATTCTTCTTCCCCCTGCCATACTTACAGGTTCCCATTTCTAACTTCACTAATACTTGAAAGAAGTACATAACAGGAGGCCCATGACTGAATGGAAAGTTGTTTACAGCTTAGCTTTAAGCATCTACATGTCTCAGACACACACAGACCTATACATGAAGTACAAGTGTTGGGAAAGAGTTCTTATTCTATCAAATGTATACAGCTCACATTTCTGCAGTCTTCTTACTTAATCAAGCTGCCTTGGCCAGGCCTGACCCGGACAGATTAGTAGCACATTTTGTTTGCTGATGAAAAACAAAACATTTCCTTCCTGGACCCTGGAGCTTTCCTTCTCCCCCTGAACTCTTTTCCTTTCCCTTTGAAGCCCTCTGGCTTAATCAATTAAATATAATGTCAGAAGTAGGTGAATAACCAAAAACCAAACCAAACCCGTTGCTATGGAGTCAATTCTTACTCATAGCAACCCTATAGGACAGAGTAGAACTGCCCTGTAGGGTTTCCAAGGAGCGGCTGGTGGATTCCAACTGCCAACCTTTTAGTTAGCAGCCATAGCTCTTAACCACAGTGACACCAGGTCTCCCATAATAGATGAATAAACTACTCAAATAGAGACCTGAGCAATAAGAGTTTAAACATTGCATTTTTAGCATCAAGTGAATTAATGTCTCAGGATATGACTTGAGGACATTGGGAAAAACAAATAGGATAGAGGTAAAAGGTTATGTAGGTAGCCATCATGCTTTTTAGATATTTAAACTTCTTATTCATGTAACAACTCTAGGTTGAGTGCCTGCTGTATACTGTGAGTAGCAAGTCTGAGAATCCCTGCAGGGAGTTTGTCTTAAGAGAGGGTTGTCGCAGCGG